AGGAAAGGCGCCCGCTACCCATTGTCTCCCCTTGGCACCGTCTTTTCCAGTTAAACGCGGCCTCTGTGGATTGACGGCAGAGCTTTCGCGCGGCTTTGCAGGAGCGAATATGTGTGTGTCGGACGGACTTGGGGAAAACGAGCATTTTCAAAGATGCGGCTATACATAAATTAAATAGACAGTGCCTGTGCCCGTTCGAGTGAACACCGACTCCCAAACACCCGTGCTGCAGTCGTGATCGGCCTTTAGCCCAGTTGAGATTCGCCGACCTTACAACCGCTCTGCCCTATCATATCTCTGCACCTGTCCTCTTGACCCTGACGAATGAGTTAACTACCCAGAAACAAGTAAGTGTTCCTTTGATACAGAAAATATCCAGACGAAGTGCAATTGAATATAATTTGGAAGGATCCATTGCTGGTTTAAGGTCTTGTCTAAGTTCAAAAGTTATAGTTGCCGAACTGCAACATGCTTTCAAAAATATTCATCAATTATTCGCTTTCGTTCTATCGAGTTGCATCCAGAACACGTGAAAACACGAGTTTGGGTTGGCAATGCCGCATGCGCTGCGCTCTGGACATTCCCAATATACGGCGAACAACCGACGAACTTGCCTGGCAGCATTCGTTTCGCTCGCTGCGTCAACAGTGTTTTGACGCCGCGAGCAGCGTCGAAGCCGCCGGGCCATTTTTGTCGCTTGTTTGCAACGTACTCGCTCCGCTAATTTAAACCGCTTTTCCCGTTGCCGCAGCAGTTGAGCACTAGCTCCAACCAGAATGTCTGCCAAGGAAATGTCTTTAAGCTGCCCTAAATCGACCGCTCACGTAGTGTCGGTCTGAAACCCAAGTTTCAGAAAGGATAGTGTCACCGCAATTTTCGAGATACTTACCTCTAGCGTGGTCACCCGAAAGGTTTTAATTCAAAGAGTTCATCCCCGACAGGTAAACCGATACAAAAGCTCCCAAGCTCTATATTATGTTATCAGAGTTTAGTAAAAACGATAACTCCACAAAAAATATAAACACTCCCCCTCCCCCTCCCCCCCCCCCCCCCCCCCCGCCATTTTACACCGAGGAACCGCCCCCCCCTAAAATAGAGGTCTTGATCCGCCCCTGATTCCAGCGTTATTTTGAAAGGAACCAGACAAAAACCTGCCTTTTCGTCAAAACGCCGTGACTAGGGCCGTCTCAAAAGTGTCGAGAAAGGTTTGAAGGTCAGTTTTCACGTGTTCGGTTCGTCCGAGAATCTGGATATGTGCCGTGAAAAGGGAAAAGCAGACGCCGTCGGACAGCGATTGCTTGGGCGGGAAGCACTTTGGGTTGAATTCACGGATACTTGTGGTCATCAGATTTATTTGTTTTGTTCCAACATAAACGCCAGAAAACCGTCAAGTTGTGCGGACCACCTGCAGACTACGTTCAGTGCGTCTTCAAGTTCAAACGGCCGCCTGATCGTTCGGACTGTCGTCTGCTCTTTCAAACGTTTCTGCTTGTCGTCTGCTCTCTAACCGCTTATTCATACTGGAAGCGGATCCGCGTTCGCAAAGCGGTTGCGAACGCAGTTGTATAAAGATCCAGTACAATTGCACGCGCATTTGATGTCATCGAGTGCGCGTACAATTGTACTGGATCTTCACAACCGCTTTGCGAATTCGGATCCGCTTCCAGTGTGAATGAGCGGTTAGACGACGCCGGCTCTTAGACGACGCCGGCCCGTAGACCGAATGTTGGCCCGGTACTTGCGATAAGAAGTAAGTGGAGTCCTCAAAAGACTTAAATTTGAAAGTTGCAGGCTAGATGTAAACAGTAGATACAAGGAGATGTTGATCATTGTTACCAGTGACCATCACCGACTTGTTATCCCTAATTCACTTGGTCCGATTCTGCTTGCGATTTTCAGTATCGACGTCGACCATCTCAGCTACGGTTCACGCTTTTGCAGCCCGAGCGGCGTCGCGACTGAAAATTGCGAGCGAAACCGCATCATGCGATCTAGGCTTTAGCGTACATACTGCGGCGTCCACGCAGAATGAATCACCACATGTCACATTATTCACGCAAAGTTTTGTGGCGTAAAGAGCCTCGGTAATCTCGCTGACGCCGCTCAAGTAGTCAGACGTCGCCAGGAAGACGTAGAGTCAACAATTAGAACGCGAAAAAGGGCAGGGGGACCCACACCGACGCCGAGAACATCGCATTCCAATGGTTTGTTTTTGGGCGACGGCGAGCTTCTCGCCCACACCCCCATTGCGCATGCGCGGCGCCGGTGGTGTTCGCTAGGGCCGCCCAGGTTTGTTTGTAAACATGAGTTGGTGTATTGACACCACCACAAAGCTGACAACGCCACCAAGGGCAAAGCTCATAACCACGCCAGCCTTGCTACGTCACGAATGCGGGGAATCTTTCTGTTTCGTTTGCGCCGGATATCCCATGACGCATCGCGCTCTCCGTTCGCTTCTCTTCGAGCGCTTGCTCGAGTGCACCGTTTGGAACGAAAAATATAGCCAATCGTTCAAAAATACAAACGTGCCATTATCATTTACGGTTATTTTCCGTCATGCTTGACTCATTTCCGAACGAAATTTGAATATTTCAATTTTTGTTTCCGTACCCCTTTAAAGCAAAAGGGACTTTCCAAAAAATATTTTTTTTATATATAACTACCTGGCTAAAACACGCCTGTCACCAACTCTCCCCCCTCCCCCTCTTTCCCTTCAAGGAATACAAAGCAATAATTATGGAAGAAGGCAGCGGGCTGAAATGGCCCAAGGACCGTCATTCCTCTGCTTTTCTCTCGCTCTCCTTTTCGCAGCCAATCGAAGCGCGCGGGGAAGTGCCCCTCTCCGTGCTCCCTCTTGCCAGTTGACTATTGACTCTCACCCCCCCCTCCCCCCCCCCCCCCCCCTAATTTCCTTTTACAACGCCTACACACACACACCTGCCAGTTGGGGACTCACAAAATTGCTTTTATTTCGACCGTTCATTCACCCCAAAATAAAAGTCATTTTTGAGCCGTCGAGCGCCAACAGACCAAGTATCTCCGAACTCAAAATGCATGTCGAGGGGTAAATACGCTTATTGCTCCGGTGACCTCCGTGCTTTAGTTAGGTAGTCGATTTGTAAATGTGTGTCTGTGTGTGTGGAAGGGGGGGGGGGGGGCACATTATAATGGGGTTTTTACTTTCCACTTGGCCGTCAAAGGGACACTGACGGAATATTTAAGCTCGCCAAGATTTTTATTTGTACATGACTTATGAGAGACAAACTATCCAGAAGTTTGCGGCTCGAAATTCGTTTTCTTTCCGCCCAAAAACCGCCGGTCGAGAACCGGCCGGGTTAAGTCGCGCTCACTCTCTTCTCCGTGGTCACGTGCCGTTTTTTATAGTTGAGGCAACCACCAAAGATAATCTAATACCTCATTCACACGACCGTAAAGGTACCTTTAGCTAAAGGGACCTTTATTCTCTGCAACCAATCAATTAACTGTCTTCCGCGCGTGGCGTGTGCGCGCGACCCAAGAGCACGGGCTGATTCGCCGATAGCAAAGGGACCTATGTTAAAGGTACCTTTATGTTGACCGTGCGAATGGGGTATAAGTCGTGGGTCATTAAAGGCACACACTAAATACTAAAAATAGGCAGAAAATATGATATACATTTTTTGTGGTTTCTAAAATGCTGCAAAAAACGTTGACTGAAAAAAAAAAGTTGCACAGTTATGGGACGTTTGGTAACTTTATCTTCCTCTATATTTTTCCTTCCTCCCCAGTCTGGTTTCAGCTTCGAGCAGTTGAGATTTTTTGCATTATTAAGATATATGTGACGCTCTAGCAATAATATTGATTGGGTAGTCTTCTGACAACATAATAAATCGCCTATCAAAAACAAACAAAAAATTTTTTTGAGGGGGTGTTAGTGTTTTTTTAAAGTGAATGGGTTAGAAATTAGTGTTTCTACCAGCCACCGAGGGTCGCATGTTGGACTACTCCCCTTAGACTCAATTTCTATTGTCATGTAATAAGCTCTCTTTTGGACTATATTAGAACCGGATTATGTGTTCTGTGTGTGATATATTTAAAAATTTGTGTTAAACTAGATCGAAAAAAAAGGAGTCAAACTTCTTTTGGTGGTGTTGGTAACCTCCCTTTTCACTTATGCATTATATGGTATATGGATAACTAAAATAAAACTTCGAAAATGTTGTAAATTTGAAATTCATTTTAAAAAAAGTTCTATATTTTCTTTTTTATTTCCATTTAGGTACTTTATTGTGTGTCAGAAGCAAGAAACGAAAGCTGCAATATTTTATTTGTATCACATCTATTAGCTTGAACGTTGTATGAGATGCTTCCGTAAGTGCACCTTCAAATATATACCCTGCTGTCCTGGAGCCGGCTACGCCTGGCGCCACTGTCAGCCTGAAAACGTCGGAACTATACTATAGGGTGTGTTGTGGTCTGGACATTATCTGTTATCTAATATTCATTATTAAACAGGGAGGCATAAAGTAATCTGGTGTCAGTACAAATATTAGGTGTAATACACCATATCCAGGCCATAAAACTGGTCAGCAGGGCGGCATTAAGGCTCGTTTACACGTTTGCGACTGCTTACGCCCGAGCGTGTTACGACCTATTGCGGTCTCCTACGACGAGAGAACACACGAGTGCCTCTACCTGGCAGCAATGAAACACTTGAAATTTTTGTATGTTTTTTGTTTGCTTGAAAAGCTTATATATAAGTTCATTTAATCTCGCCAATACTGAAAAGCCGTCGCTCTACATGCAGTTCCAGGGCCACCTCGTAGAGGGCGCCAGCGTGCCAGTGCGTTTTCTCTCGTAAGATAACGCAAAAGGTCGTAATGCACTCAGTCGTAACCGGTCGTAAGAGTGTAAACTAGCCTTTATGCCTTTTGCACGATCGCGATAAAAGACACGCAAGTTTTGCAAATTAATTTAGTCGTCAGGTCTACTCTTTGTTGCAAGTAGCGCACACGCGGTGATTACGCTTCCCTAAGTTGGGGCGTCACACTCTTTCTGTGGCGGCGAGCTTCGATCTTGCGCTGCAGAGCCTTGCTGAGCCTTGCCTGGCGCAGTGCCTGCACTTTCTTCAGTGCCTTCATCTGTTCGTGATGCTGGTGGCGCAGCTCAACCACTTTCCCTGGAAGTAAAATTAGTTCGGCATTTGAGCACATTGACATTATGGGCACCTTATATAATCACGGACAGGATTCGAACGACAGGGAGCACTTGTTCCACTTTCAGCAATGGCTTGCTAGCTTCGACAATGCTTCGGCATCTCGGGAGCCTCGAGCGTGCACACGCAGCCAAAGCACGACGAAAAGCAGCGAGCGCGTGCTGGAGGCCGGGCACCTTAGGGAGACGTCCTGGCGTCGTCATCTTGTCGGGGACAGCGGTGGTCATCATAGTTTTGTCAGTTACGCATGATGTATATGTGCTTGAGGTTTAGTCGCTGCGACCATTTGAAGGGCTCCCACCGTGGAACAAAACTTTTTGGATGTGACAATTCCTCAAACCATGCAAGTACCGCGTTACCTTTCAGTCGCTCGGATAACAACTAATGGTAACCAATTATGCAACCTATTGCTAAATGTTGAGAGAGACCACTACGCATTAATATTGTCATCGCAGTGTCATTACAACTTTAGCTAGAGGTTCAAACCACCAGATTCATTTGGTTTGTTAACCTCCACAGTGAAACTGTTAAGAGAAACAAGCTTGGATATGTCGGGCTGTCCTTGCTGACTAGGACTTGCGGTCGTGTTGTTACAACACCGACACTACGATGAGCCCGGGACAAACACGACCGCACAACCGCGTATGGTTTTTTATATACACATTTCTAGCGTTTATCACGCAGGCGAAAACTGCCCGGTCACTAGGTTGTGGACACGTGCGCGGCAGTAGCAGTCTTCTGCAGAAGATAGCTGGTGCCGTACTGCGCATGCCCAACACGCGTTCAGCAGCCCACTATAGTCGTTTTCACCTCAAGGAAAAAATGAAACTTTTGCTCAGAGTTCACGCACCGTGCGAGACTGCAAGGTAGTTCTTACAACATTTAGTTGTCGGAGGAAGAAGCGATACCTTTAACGGTTGAAACGTGTATGTCTTGATACTCTTGATAATAACATGCATCTAATCTAAAATCCATCTACATATATCTTTATTACATAGACAAAGGGGAAAATTAGTAATGCTCCGCGAGCAGTCGGTCTTTTTTTACTGCTGTTCTTAAGGTGAAAACGAGTATAGATAAAGATGGCAGCGTACTAAATGTTACTTCATCACGATATCGTCACTTTTTTTTTTTGTTATGGAAAAACCATTACAGTAACGACTTTACATGTAACTTCTTAGACACATTCCTGAATAAAATTCGTACGGCCGGGAACAAAGACATACAACAATTGCCCGTAATTAAAAAAAAAAAAAAGTGACACGTGATTGTTAGCGCCATTTCGCGTAACGACTGAACATAGAGACGCGAGGGGCGCGGAAAGTTGGTTTTGTTCGAGTGTTATTGACACTCGAATTTTGCATGAAAAATGTCGCTCCTCGAGCTAATGCTGTTCTCGCATGTGTTGTCTTGAGTTATCTGTGCTACCTTATCTTACTTGCAAGGCAGCCTCTTACTTCTACACATATAATTGACGCTATGCGGAAATACATGCAATGACATTGACACGCTTAATTAAAACAAAAACAAGAAAGATACATACGCGTGATTGCATCGAACGCAGAGAAAAATGGTAGTTCACTTCATAAATTAGGCAGGCAACAACTTGGCCGGGATGACAAGAAAGATAGCGCGTCTGCTTTCACAGCGGAAATTCGCAGTGAGGCAACCTGAGTTCTTGAAGGAACAACTTTACGCGAATCACGAGCTACAGACAACATACGAACCCACAATTCTGACCTGCTGTTGATTGCGAATTCAGCATCGTTTTGCGCGTGTAAATTTACTTTGCTTTTTTTTGTCATGCACAGGCGAGACATGGTCGTGTCGAGGCGTATAGGCCCTCCTTTGCACGCACCGAATATTTTCTCGGTCGGTGGCATCGGAGCCAGGTCGGACGTGGGAACTGGAGTCGGACCTGCGGTTGAACTGGTGTCGGGAGTCATCGAGCTTTCCTGGATGGGAGGCATTGTACACGGATTAGGTTGTGTGTATAGGTTGGGCGATGTGCAAGACGGCGTGATAACAATGAGTAACAAACTGGAGTGCCACTTCACTCAGCAACTCCACATTTTCGTGCGGCGCATAGCGTTGTGAGCGATTGAAAGCGTCGCAATGGTCGACCTGCAGCAAAGGATTTCTCATCGATAGAAATAAGAGTAATGTAAGAACTACAATTTTGACGGTGTTCGCAATATTTTTTTCAGAGCGTAATGATTTCAGGCTTCCAGCATGCTAATTACAAACACCATTGACCTTGTTGTTCGCAGGGTAATGACGTCAGGAGAGGAACCATAGGGGGGCACCACTCAAGCATTCCGGTTTAATGTTTAATGTGGCGTAGAAATAAGAGCATAATTTTTATGGCGCACTGGGTTGACAAACAGTCGTCATGTTTTGTTTGTCCCACTTCGATTCAAAACATTGTTTTATGAGTATTGTGGAAACAAACAGGTATGTGAGTGGAGCTTCATAAACTAGTTATGTTAGATTGTTTTTAAATAACACGTGACTGCTCGACAAGGATCGACGAGTTACCGGAAACCATGTCGTACCTCTTAGTGCAACTATTCTGCGAAAACGATTACAATTTTTACACGTTTGTCCTTATCCGATAACAGAATGCTGCGCAAACCTACATGTTGTAACGGTGGTACTGGGCATTATGATAGGGCGTCGATGTTAGAAATGGCTGGCGTTACCCTGCTCAGACTTCTTTCTGGCCGGAACAGCTGTACTGGGTGTCCGTCCTTGAAGGTGTCGTCCGCGTCGTTTTCCATTCCGCTGTCTCCTGCAGAGCGCCGAAAAGTATAGGCGTGATGTTCTCGTCCGGTTCAGTGTAAGGCTGAACCGCATCTAAGCGATCGCCGAGACAAGCGACGGCGACAGCGACGCCCGTCACCCAACGATGACCTAACCACAGCTGTTTTGGTCACCCTTTTGCAACGTTACTAGAACCACTCAGTTGGGAAACTGCCGTAGAGACTGCTCTGAAAAAGTGGCCCCAATCTGTCCACCAAAACCGAGCTAATGGCGAACACAACGCCGCCATTTCTCCCGCAGATTCCACTCGAGGAACTGCACATTACTTCTTTTTTGGCTTTAATCGGCCATTTTAGCGCCGAAACAGATACAGCGGAAGAGGTTACAGGGGTGCCAAACCCGTCTACCCAGCGGACGCGCCGCGAATTAGCACCGAAGTTAAAATGCACCTAGGTCGGGACGCGCTACCTGAAAGGACCGCTAAGGCATGGTTGTATAAAAACAATATTAATTGTTCCGCAAAACTTTCCAAACTAAAGATTATAAAAAACATCACGCGCCCTTCATTTTGTACTTAACTCAAAAAAAATTCATAAAAAAGGAGTCTTTTTCTGTTTGTTTTTACGCAAAAACATGCTTTCTAAAAGCTCAAGGTGACCACAGTACAAACAAATGATAAAGAGTGGCGCTGTTGTCGTATTTAGCTCGGTCTCGGTGAACGCCAGCGGCCCAGGTTTCGACGGCGAGTTTCCCAACTGAGTGTTCTAGTAACGTTGCCCTCGGGTGACCAAAACAGCTGTGATTTTTGGTCATCGTTGGAAGCGTGTCCCTCAGCACTTTTGGCTTCACTTATGGTGGCGTCATGTCGCCTCCAGAAGCTTCCAATTCATGATTGGAGCCGATACCGAACGTATAGTCGTTCGCAGCTGGAGAAACGCAGGGGGAGTCGAGTCCCAACTTTCGAGGATCTTGCTATCGCGTCACAGTCAACGAGATTATGCACTCGTGGAATTAGCTGATGTCAAAAAACGAAGGCAAGAAGCGGGGACATAATAAGCCGCTATTTGCACGGCCTGTAGATCCTCGCTTGGTTCTTGGACGCTCGCAACCTCGAAGACACCATAGGGATTTTCATGATTTCCATGTAAACCAATGCAAAAATCTTTTTTTTTGTGTGTGTGTGTGTGTGTGATGAAGACTTTGTGGGCGCCAAGCACGTTACTGCTTACCACTTAATCTTAAATAAGATACAGATATTGTGTTTTTGTGTTTTCTTTTTGGTTCGATCCATGGTTTATTGAGTTTCTATTTATAAAGTGCTAACTTGGTTTTATTTGTTAAAAGGGAAGAGGTCAAGGATAGGTATGTTCCCTTACCAAAGGCAGGGACCAGCGAAAGAGAGCGGCAAGTTGAAAAGTAGGATGCCGTTTGGACAGTCCCGGGCACCCGTTAGACAATTACGCGGCGGCTGTCGCCTTTTGCTCGGAATAATCATCCGTAGTCGTGTTCTTCACATGAAAACGGATCGCGCGCAGGCAAACGATTTGCGTATGTTCTTTATAGTATAACTTTAGGGCATGAGAATCAAGCTGGCACCGAAAGAAGGCAAGGTGAAAATCTAACAAGGCATGTTTTAAGCTTTGTGCTTCCTTCGAGTGAGGTGGAAAATTTCAATCTAAAAAGCTGCCTGTGCGTCTAGTTTTCCCCCAGTGCACTTAGAAAGCCAGTCAGTGTATTATATTAAAGGAGCGCGCGGCCAACTTGCATCGAACGATGAAGTTTGCGCGTCTCCCTTTGTAGTCTGCTGCGATTGGCTCACCCAAATGTTTTCAGGGAAAGTAGACGTTCCGTTTTGGGGCGTATGTTCAATGGCAACGTACACAAATCCTGATCACACGTAGCACCGCTCCGTGTTATAGAAACGTTCTATTTTAAGTCAAACGTTTTTTTTTAATGAAGTGAGATTTTGACGAGTGCCGTTTTCAACATGCATTTATCAGGCTCGGCGGACATTAGATGAGGGGATAATCGTCACGGTAAGTAGGCTAGTTAACTAAAATTCGTTCATTCACTTTTTAATTAATTGCTTTGACGGTCATGTTGCAACTGCATGCAGTATTGATGGCAATTCCTTTTAGAGGCCAAACCAATTAAAATAATTTGCAAAAATGTAATGTTCTTTTGTTGATACATTTTTGTGCTTTTTAACCCGATTTGAAAATTGCGCGCAAAAAGCGCACCCCGCAAGCCCTGTCCACAATGACGCGTAGAAGAGTGACGTAGTCGTTTCAGTCCTGTCGTCACTATATGGGTAGCCTGTGTCCTTGGTGGGTACGCAGACGATACAAGCGACGATGGGTCTGAAACGACTGCGTCATTCTTCTAAGCGTCATCGTGGGCAGGGCTTGCGGCGCGCTTTGTGCGCGCAATTTTTACATCGGCCTAAAATACCCGAAAATTGATCGATTAATATCTCCAAAAACATTGCATTTTTGCAAGCTATTTTGATTCGCCTGGCCTCTAATTAAGCTTCCGTCAACACTAAAATTGCAACATGACCCCTAAAACCAGCCATTAAAAAGTTATCGAACTGATTTTGTTAATTAGTAAACTTGCGTACCATGACAAGTGCCCCCTCATCTAATGTCCGCCGAACCTGATAAATACATTGGGAAGAAAGCACTTGTCGAACTTTCACCCCCTTTTTGTAAAAGAAGAAATCTGTTCGAATTAAAATCGAAAACCCTGTACACACCGAATCGCTTCGTCACCCGCCAATAACACAAAAAAGAAACAACCGGGAACGCCAACACAGGCACGAAAGGTTTTACACTGGTTTGTCGTTTTTGCACAGGCAACATAACCCTCTAAAGTCCGTGTTTTTTTTTGTTTTTTGTTAATGTGGAGCAGAAATTTTTATCCTAAAAAAGTTGTAGCTGGCTTTATGAAGAATATTTATTTATCGAGGATGCACTGATCTATGAGCTCAAAGCTAATTGATGTCTACATGCATCCAGCCTAGGATAGTTTTCTCCAACTACTTTTTGAGATGGCACTATGCAAAGCGGCTCCCCGGCCTCGCACCCTGGGGTGACTCCTTTCGTGCAGCCTTAACCGACGCTTCTTTTATTTGGAACTAGGAGTTTCCTATCTAGTTTGTTAATAAATTAGTGCATTACTGATTTCTCGGTGGTCGCCACGAAGGGCGAGGCTGAAGGGCGAAGATTCGCCTTTCAGGAACGACGTCGAAAGAGAAACCCGAGACAGAAGTCCCCTAAACAAAACATTCCACGTGCCGTCGTCAGGTGTTATTACGAAACAAAACTTAGCTCAACATGTAAAAATACAATCAGCAGCACAGTTGGGAGAGGTAGGGATTAAATCGAAACCCACTGAAAGGGTTCAGAATCGTCTCAGTCAGCGAGATACGCCAAGAACACTGAACAGCGAAGCAAGAACCGTGAACATAATGAGCCAGGCCATGTGTTCCCTCAATCCCAAAATTTGGTCCGTCCGTCCGCGCATTTCTCGCTAAATTTAGCGGGCAATCTAATTTGTTGTTTAGGTCACGTGACGTCAATTGATGCTACCTGAACTGGCGTCATGTGATCTTATACTCCAATTAAGTTTACCCGCCAAAGTCGGCGAGAAAGTCGGTGTCATGTGACCTGTACATTAATTCACTTTCCCAGCTAAATTTAGCGGGAAAATTGACGCAACGTGACCCATACACCAATTAACTGGCCCCGTTAAATTTAGCGGGAAATTTATGGCACGTGACGTCGAGCCACGTGCTCTTACGCCAACTAACTTACCCCGCTAAACTTGGCGGAAAAATCGATGTCATGTCACATAAATACCTTCAAGTTCCCCGCTAAATTTAGTTGGGAAGTGACGTCACGTGACCTGCGACACGTGACACATCAATACTATTTCCCGACTAAATATAGCAGGGAAATCGACGTCACCTGATATACTGCGATTTTGTTTCCCGGAATAACTTAGCGGGGAAATTGATGCCACGTGACCGATGCACGCAGTTTCCTCGCTCAATGTACCGGGGAAATGGAAAGGCTCTTCACTCCCCGAAACGACGGTTTAATGTCTTCTAAGCGATTTTAATCGATCGCACCTTTAATACTTCGATACATGCATTACGGGACTTGAGCTATAAATGTCGCTGCGAATATTTCTTAAGCTGGTGGTGACTCCAGGATGTCGCGATTTTTGGAACTCCATTATTCCACCGTACGCGAGTTCTCTGATGAATTATGCCCCAAGTGAAGTATGCACTTGTGAAGAAAGCACTGAAGGAAGCACTTCATTCGACTTGATAACTCGAAAAATTGATATCAATCTCAGCATCCGTACGAACAATAGAAATGCACGAATAAAATTCGAATATATTTGTATAAGTCTCTTAATTATAGTATATTCCGTGCTCTTACCGTTTACGAGGGTTAGGTCCTTGCCCGTGTTGTTCTTCATCCTCTGTTGTATCAGGCGTACCCTCTCCTTCCGAAGTTGGGCGAATTTTTCGTGGCATCGTTCTTCCAGAATGTCGAGGTCGTGGTTGATGACGTTGTTGATCACCTAAGCCAACGCAAAAGCATCGAGCATGGAGAGTGCGTCGCAAATACCACGATTTTGCGTAATCCTTACAGGAGTTCGTTAAAGAATATACTTTAGCAATACAACGTGTTGGCAGAGGTATACTTATCAACTAGAGGCGGATAAGTTGAGCAGTACCAGGGTTCAGGAGATGTACGTTCTTTCATCATCATCGTGGTCTCTATGCACATGCCGTTGAATATTACGCATATAAAATTCCTGCAAGTCATCGTGTTTACGAATGTATCTCTCTTTTTTTTTTATAAAAGTTTATTAGAAAAGCATTGCAGGGTGTTTCACCAACGATTGGGAATAATAATAATAATAAAAATGGGGCATTGAATTGAAGAAAAAAATATATATATATTCGTTTGGGATAACGTTATCGATTTGCTGCCCGGAGTAAAATTATTCAGTCGGCGAAACTCAAACAGCTGTAACAGCTAAACCGCTAGGAAACCAAAACTAAAGTCGAAAAGGGCGGTGCATGTCCCACGCGTAAGCGACGTGTGACGAATCATCGCGAACCGATCCGGCAGCGGCCCGTTATCTAAGGTCAAGTGGTCGTGGAAAGGCGCGCCACGCTCCGATGTCTCCTCGGGCACTAAGCGTTTGGCGCTTGTTTCTCTTTAGTTTTGGAATGGCGGAGGCCAATTTTGCCATCGAATGGCGCGAAGAAAAATTTAGTTGACACGACTTCGAAGTACTTCTACGGCACAATTAGACGACTAGCAACAAATCTCTGATTGGAATGTGCCGGATAAAGCAAACGCACAAAAAATATTAGGGAAGCTTAGGTAATTAGGTTCCTAATTATCACTTTTCATTCCTACACTGACGTCTGCCCGAAGGAATCATTTGTTATTTTCCAATGTACTTTTTTAAACTTATTCGCACTAGTTAATGAAAACGCCTTAGATATATAATAATCAACTCCTTAGAGTTGATTAACGAAAGCTGGCCGTAAACCTGTTCGACCATTCACCCCCTTTTTTTTTATTGCATGAAACTACATGAACCTTTACAAGTACGTAGAGTATGAATCGGAATCCGAATGTCAAGTTTAATCAACCATAGTTTGCGTGTCGTTATGTTTACGATAGTCACTGGCAGAATGAAAACGGCAGGGCGTGTCTTTTGAACGCTTATGCCTCTAGTACGCGCCCCATGCCTTCCACCGTGCTTTGGCTGCGCGCGCGCTCCAGGTGCACGAGACGTTCAAGCGTTGTTGATGGTTAGAAGCTCGCACTGTAGAGGCGCGAGCTCCTTACCTTCTCACCTCGTCAGTGACTACATTGTGGAAAGATCCATACACCCCCGTGGACATTCCACTATGTAATGCCTAAAGCCACACACCAAGTTACTCTTCAGAGCAACGACGCCTTCAGCCCATAGAGTTGTTAAAATGTACGCTAGAGGTTCAACTGGCGCTAGTGTCTATCCGACGCTTGGGAGGCAAATTGAAGCATGACTGCTTCAATTTGCGTGTCGTTATGTTTACGATAGTCACTGGCAGAATGAAAACGGCAGGGCGTGTCTTTTGAACGCTTATGCCTCTAGAACACGCCCCATGCCTTCCACCGTGCTTTGGCTGCGCGCGCGCTCCAGGTGCACGAGACGTTCAAGCGTTGTCGATGGTTAGAAGCTAGTTTTGCAGCCTACACTCTAAGAAAAAAGGGAGGAGAAAGGTAGCAAAAGCGACTATTCCTCCTTGTTGCGGACAAGTTGCCCAGAGAAGGGAGGAACGGCAGTCCAGATGAAAGGAGGAGGGCGAGTTCCTCCTTGTTCAGTTGGCGCAGGGGTAGAACATCGCGCTACTGACCGTGTGGTCATCGGTTCGATCCCCAGAAAAGTGTTTTTTTTTTTTTTTTTTTTTTTTTTGTAAAGTTTTTTTTTATTTTTGTTTACCAAAACACACATAAACAAACCCAGACCGATGAAAGGAAAATTAAAGTCCTTATTATTCTCCGAGACGTTTTCCTCCTCCAGGCAGACCGGAGAAAGCTTTCGCCCTCCCGACCCATCTTCTTTCGGTTTCGTTTTCGAGCACATCGCGCACGTTGTTTAATAAATTAATGCTGAGTTGATTGAGCTTCAGCGGCAGCGAAGGCCGCCTGTAATTTCGTCTTCTAGTCCAAACGTGCAGAACATTTCGGTTGCATTGACGTTTTTACCACTAATTTTATCAAACGAGCTAACGAAGCCGCTAGAAACAGCGAAGTTCCGGAGCAGTGCCAGCAGCGCTACATACACTGGGTAAGACGGCCGTCTCCAATTTGCGGGACGCACGCGGAACTACAGCAGCGAAACCACGAGGAACTGTTTCGACGTTTTCGACGTTATGGAAATCGCGGGAACTGCGTCCAAGGAAGGCAGGTTTTCCTGCCGGCTGCCTGGGTTTCTCCGTGCTGAGTTCGGTTCCGTTGTCCCGTGCCGAGTGCCAACCGGCGTTCAACGTGATTCTTCTGCGTGTCAGCAACATCGTCAACATGGTTCTGTATTTCTCCGTGTCAGCGACGTCGTGATGGCAGTGTTGTGGGTTGTGAACAGAAGACTGGAATTATCGCCGATGTGACCGTGTGTTCGCGTGTCAGTGGTGTAACAACAAGATGAGATGACGTAAACTGTCGGGCATTGATGCCGCTGGTCGCGCCGTTATCGGAGGGGCCGGGGTGTCGCAGGATGACATTCCGCTTTACATTAAAGAGTTTAAAACCACTTGAGGGATTAGGTGCAGTCGATCGACGTGTGGATAGTCATGTTGGAACGCTGGTCTGAACGGTAAGCTCCTATCGTACAGTGGCCAATGTGACTGTCGGTCCCCGAGAGCGATTGCGCTCTGGGGAAAAGACAACACTATGAAAGTATAACGGAAAGTACGTATATTTATAATGGAAGTTTAGCATAAAAAAAAAGAAGACAGGCAAAATCGAAAAAAAAAAAAAAAAAAACGCTATCCTTACTCTTTAAATATATTACGGTTCCTGTAGAAACTGCCCTCTAAGTGGCGCGCTGGGATGAGCGCTAGACGTTTTCGAGCTCGCAACGGCGCAGCTCCGTACACTTAACAGTTGTCGCAAGTCGCGGCTTTGACTGCATTCAAGTTGATCGAAAAGCGATTTCTGTGCCCGTTAAGCATCACTTCCAGCTGAGTGGATATCCGCTCTACAGAGATTAATTCAAGACGGCAATTGCAGCTTTGCGCGAACAGCACAAATAGAAAAACGAACACTACAATATAAATACTGGCTGCGAAGGGCCATGCGGGAAAACAAACTCATGGCTTGGAACCACATTGGAGCGGCTCGATTTATTGGCTTTCAAATAATTATGGCATGATCGAGCGTCTTCTTTTTAATAAGAGATTCATCCCCTGAGCCATTAAAAATAGCCTCAGATGTATGACATTGCTGGAAAAAAATGAACATGTTCGGAATATTTTTTTTTTTGCTTAGGGAGTCACCGAAAAATTCCGTACGTTCAAAACGACCACTATAAAAGACGGAAACGCAGGCCTCGGTAGTAGTGATCGGGGTAGTGTGCTGTTGTATTGATGTTTGTATGTGCGATGCCTGTGTATGCGTTCAATATGTGTTGACCTGATGTTTGTGGTGTGCGTAACGTGTCTACATGTGTTAGAGATCCCGAAGAAAAGGAAACGCAATTGTGGCGTAAGGAAATAAAAATATTTTTTTGTAAAAACATGAATTGGGCGGTACCTAGCGCCACCTAGCCTAGCTACGTGCGATTACTCTGCTTGACCCTGCCATCTGGTGGCAAGCGATTTAACATCCTTTTACGCTACGCGGCTACGCCATAATTTCGTGTTACCGTGCTGAGATAAGCCAAGAGGTTGCTTCGGATTTGCTTTTTTTTGAGAGTGGCTTTTGGTTTTGCGGGCGAATGATTTTCACTCCTCCGTGATGTGCGGTTGACGCAACGGTTGACGAAGGAATTGTGGCTCGAGGAATAGCAAAGGTAGGACATAAAGCGCGAACTGAGTGCCGGTTGTCTCCGTTGAACATCGCAGTGCTGACGATGAGAAGACTGAGTGACTGCATCCTTTCGAAACGTAAGTTTCTTTACCTGCAGGGGTAAAGAAACTTCGGAAATAAATACAGTTTATTTCCGAAGCTCGTGTTACGTTTTTATTTCCTGCTCCTCTCGCTTCGTGCAATAGACTTAGTGTTCTCGTTAAGCCTTACCGAGCTCGATTTGCTCGATTCGTGGCCGCCATAATGAGATGCAGTCGACGGAGGAACTTTTCCTCCCCTGCTTAAGGGACGAAAGTTTCTCCCTTTCTGAAGGAACATATGTGTCAAGAGCGTTCCTCCCTTTAGGGAGGACTATGCTGACCCTTTTTTCTAAGAGTGTAGTTTTGCAGTGCTCTTGTGAATTCCTATGGGAAAACGCGCGTGCATTTTGTCTCTTCGGCGGAAAATAACATAAATAACCTTCGTTATTTGGGGTCGTGCCGAATAGTATGTACCTTTGTTAACATTGTGAAAATGTAACTGCTTTAGATACAGCATCTTTCTTTACCAATGAACGATGTTAAACTTTGCTATATGTTAGGCACAAACCTCTGTTCCATGGCAGGTATGTAAAAACGAGCGGCGATTTTAAGCAAAATAACAATCGAAAAGAATGTAGAGTGCGATCAAGGTTCGCCAGCATTTCGGTGGTGCTTATACATTTTTAATATGCCCGTCCTGTCACTATATGAAAATGACTCAGTCGTACATCTTTACGAGCGGTTAAGAACATTCGAAACGTAAAGAATAAAGTACGGGGGCTATGAAAGGTGCGCCTTTTTATTATTTCCTATGTCGGGACGCGTTTATCGGGCGCCTGTTCTCTGACTTTTCCCTACTTTGAAAAATTTCGACCGTGCGGTCGAAATTTCTCGCGCATTCTCGCGCATATTCATGAGCAGAAAGAATAAGGTGGTACTTATTTGTTGCAAATTGGACTACATTACGTGGCTTCCAATTCAATTTGATCGTCTGCGTGCACAAGGAGTTAGTTATCTAGTGTCACTGCGTAGTTCTTGCCGTCTCCCTTGGTTTTCCAGATGCCCTTCGTTCGTTTGGCACGTATATCCCCCATGCTGGAAAGCGCCCACGCCGTGTTCGCGGAAACAGCGTCCACAGTGCACAGAAATACACGTTCGAAGCCGTTTAGCATCATTTTTTTATGCCACAAGGTTAAAATAGAAACGCCGTAACTGGCCAATTATTTCGTCTGCGTGACTGAGAAATGTTCAAATCTACCTAGCACGTACGAAATATTCGGTATATTTGCTTCTATAATAAAGCGCGGGGACAAAATGCTCTCGCTTTTCCCCAAAGAAATGCATTACCGGAAGTCCATTTCCGACGGGTTGCTTTCTGCTTCAATTTGCCGCAGCACACTAAGTCAGGTGAACCTCTAGCGTACATTATAATAACTTTATGCTTCATCCATCTTGGTGCTGCTTAAAAATCACATTGTTGCCAGTTATCTGAATCTTTATCTGAAAAATCGCAGGAAACGATTTGCTGTCTTTCAGAAACGTTAAAAATTTCCGCCACATAACGAAACAATAGGGACCTTTAGCAGACTGTTACCATGTTCCGCGTACGCATACTGCCGGAGCCTTTTGAAGCATGCTTTAGGTGCGCGCCCGGGTGATACAGTGACCGCGGGGTGCGCACTTAAAAAAAAAAAAAAAAAAAAAGCTTCAAAGGATTCGATAGTACGGTACGCGGAGCACGGTAACGGTTTGCTAAAGTTCCCAATATCGCCTGAGCTTTCCCCTACCGTACCTAAGGCCGAGGAAGTCGCATATTCTAATCGTAAATATTGCCAAATGCGCTCGGCTTTGGACTAAGCACCAACATTTCGGCGCCCACAAGAAAATCGGGATACTCCAATCGTATAGGGTATTTTATTCTCTCTTGCAACGACACTGCTATTTTCTGTTGACGCGCCCAATTCAGGAAGCCGCTGTTGGCTGCACATATCCAATGCGTAAAACGCGGCGCAGTTAATTTGGTTATAAAGTCCTCAACTTTTTATTCCTATTTTTTTTTAACGAGGTAAAAACAAAAAGAAAGCCGTTGCTTACCAGCTCTATCCACTGCTTCAATGCCCCCGCTCTTCTGTACGTTGTGTGGTAGCAGTTCAGCGCGTGTTCGTATCGGTCTGGCGTCTTCATGTCCGTGAAGATGTAGGTGACAGCCTGCGGGAGAAATCAAAGGGAGTGTGAAGCATCGGTGTCACTTATTACCTATGACGCCGATTGCGACATTCAGTAACCTGTGCGTGTACAGATGCTTTGGTTTACGCATTGGTTCCGATGGACCTTGTGGTAATTCCTTCGTGCTCACGGAATGTCGGGCATTCACAGTATACTTAACGAGAACAGAGAAATTACTAATAGCGTGAGCCACAGGCACCGAAAGTAAGATGGAAAGAGAGAAAAATATATAAATCATGGTTTAAGTTATGATTTTAATCGGCCATCGGACCGATTAGAACATATAATGATGCTCCCATCATGTGTACTCCCTAGCCGATGGGTTTTATGTAAACAACTTTACATTGTTCTTTTTTTTTTTTTTTTTTTTAACCCGGCATTGGCATTGCTTTTAGTTGCCTAGGGCTGCGAAGCATTTTTTCCGCAGATTTAAGCAGATTTCGCCTGGTGTAGTGGTTCACTAACCAGGACAAAAAAGGGCTCTGGAATTTAACCAGATTTTCAAAATCCGGTCGCGAATTTTATCATCTGGCAACATACCTCGTACTATTTGATAAGTTTGGAAGATGCAGTGGGTTTTTACTGTAGGTTAATTATATTAGGGGTGGTTTAATTTAAATTCGACCAAACTTGTGGGAAGAAAAGTCATGTCTACTCCATAATTTAAGAAAAAAAATATATGTATGGGTTGTGGTAAGATGACTGATGAGAACCTCGAACGACAACTGATGTTCAAGCTTGACAGGATGTGAATGAGAAAAAAACATAATGTAACCATTTTGAACATGTGTATGCATTTTTGATTTCGAAATAACAAGTTAAAAGGTAACGTCAAAAGTAATCGATTATTTTCTGGTAATTTTTTAATTACTTTTGTGATGCAGTAGTTGATGTCTGTAGTCAGTTACATTTTTCAATAAAGTATAATTGTAATTGTAATCGTTTACATTTTTTTAGTAACGCATACAAGGCTGATCACGTGACTTCGATGTGCGGTGCATAAATGTTCTTTTTTGTTTTGTTTCAAATGATGTAATTATATCCCGCTGACCGATCTACCTGTAGGGGGCAGGGGCTTCGTCAAGCTGCATTTCTGTAGCTTTTTCTCCTGCCTCCATCGCCCATTTTGTATTATGGGAGTAAATAAAATTAATTGAATTCCTCCGCTAAATTTAGCGGGGAAACTGAATCGGTCTGTATGTCCCGTAACGTCAGGTCACGTACGCGACATCAATTTTCCCGCTAAATTAGCTGAGAAACTGAATTCGTGCATAGGATTCGTGATATTAATTTCCCCACTACATTTAGCGAGAAACGCACAGACGGACAAAATTTTAGAATTAGAAAAAAATGTTAAATAATAAAAAAAAAAGTCAAGCTCAAAAAAAAAAAAAAAGAAGAAAGGGAACGTAAATTTTTTTTGCATAACCAAGAGGGCCGAATGGAGGTACATACCGGCTTAAGAGGGAATCCGCATCTCACGCGTGTGGCGACTTGAAAACGGAAAAGTGTGTCTTTCGCAAACTGCACGATCGGTATTTTAGTGCCTACTCTCTCAAAAACGCCTGCGCCTCTACTTACTCTCAAAACACTCGAAGAGCCAGTCTTTGCGATCTACCAAATCGTCTCAACGAATGACGAGGGGGAACATCTGCTTAGACCTAAAAATGAAGTCTGCGCTGTGACATTACGCAATGCAAACATGACGCTTTGCATTGGGGAATGTCACAGTGCAGACTTCCTTTTTAGGTCTAAACGGACGTTCCGCCTCAACATTCGCTGAGCTGATTTCGTAAATTGAATAGATTGGCTCTTTGAGTGTTTTGCTGGTAAGTAGAGGCGCAGGTATTTTTTAGAGTGTACAGTATATGGTGTCTCGCAAGCTAAAGAACACAGATATGTAACTTTGTAAACTATCTGGGCAAACGACATACATTTTTTTTTGTAAAAGCTCCACGTGAACACAAGGGAGAGTGTTGCAGATACGTTTACATGTGCATATTCTATTAATGCAGATAGATTACTCGTAACATTTAGCGTTTCTACAATGCGATATCAGCGGGTATTTTTTTTGTCAGCTCAGCTTTGTATAATAATAATAATAATAATAATAATAATAATAATAATAATAATAATAATAATAATAATAATAATAATAAATTTATTTCGACATCCATATGTCTGGGAGGCTGCGGCAAAAGAAGACGCGAAGTCATTTGACGTGGCCACCAGCCCCCATTACAGCACTCGGCACGTACCTCTAAGGATACCGAAAAGAAACGAACATCAATTACCTAAAAAATAGTTTGTTCTTGGGCAAGTTGGTGAACGTTTAGATACATGGTTTTGCGCAAAAAGGACGGACACAAGAGGGTGCGCTCGTGTTTGTTTGTCTATCTTGTGTCCGTCCTTTTTGCGCAAAACCATGTATCCAATCAATTACCTAATTCACATCAAAATAAGTTTACAGATGAAAACATTTGAAGAGTCACAAAGTTGAGTGAAAAAGAACAAACACTGTTACATATAATATAATTGATCACATTTACACATTTGAACTAATGGCACAAGTGGCAGGTGCATATTATTCGATTGAAAGAAAATATACATTGATCATTTTCCTAAACATCTGGAGATTGCTACAGTTGTGTACCGTTTGAACTATATTTGCGTGATTATTTGGTAAGTCAGCAATTTGATAATGAAGTGTTTGAGTTCCATAGTTTGTTCTAACGTTTTGTTTGAAGTAAAAGGTGTGTCTAAGAGTGTAATCGGCAGGCTTATGAAGGTAGGCTTTGAAGAAAGAGGTCTCATCCCGCTTTATCTCGTCAAATATAATGTTCGCTAATTTAATAGAAAAAACATGTCTGATGGGTAATAGCTTGTATTTTTCGAATGTGGGCGATGTATGCTGAATATACCCTAAATTATCTATGAACCTAACGGCCTTCTTTTGTAAAAGAAAAACCTTTTCAATGTTTGCTTTCGTCGTGGTTCCCTAAACTAAAAGACAATGCTGTAGGCGGGGATACACAAGAGTGTAGTAAAGCTGCAGTTTAGGCCAGTTTGGTAACAAGTGTCTGATCTTATTCAGTATACCAATTGAACGTGATATATCACATCTAATTTTATCTCCATGGTTCGTCCAACTTAAAAACTCCTCAAACCAAACCTCAAGGAACTTATGAGCCGAAGTGATTTATGCAAACTTAAAACAAAGTAAAATATGATCTACATTGTTCAAACAGTTCAAGTTTGTGCAAAAAATTCCTAGACCGTGCATTCATACGTAGAAAACATAATTGTCACACCACAGGGCGTTCTTTTTATCTAAGAGTGACACTAATTTTTAAAGAAAAGACGTGAAGGCTACACTTATGCGGTTTGTGCAGGTGAGTTATGCGGCCAGGGCAGGGTGTACGATAGACAGGTGGGGAAACAAGAGCCAAATGAGCGACCGGATTGCGTCCCCTTCGGTTTTCTCTTTTTCTGTGGCTCCATCTATGTGGAACACCGCGAACTCTCACTTCGGGTGGGCGACCGATGGTGACCTGCTAAACTGACGGAGATGGTTTCTCGTGAATTTTCAATGGAGGACTGTCGCGCTCTCGGTTTATTTTGCGCACTCTCCCCATAGAGTTCCATAAAAATCCGATTCCGATTTTTTTCCTCTCGCCACAGCGCCATCTGTCGCAAGTCGGGGATACCCGCAAGCAGACGAGTACACAATCCGGTCACGGCGCTGCGGTAGGCTTCGATGGGCCGTTTCCCCACTTGTCTATCTTACACCCTGGGCCAGGGAGACATAGTATATGGGGATAATAATAAATGTCAGTCGCCTAATTAAGTAAAATGTGTTAATTAACTTCTTAATTAGTAAAATAGGCACATGGTTCTAATTAGAAAGTTTCTGAGAGTCATCGAAAACCACAAAATCAAAAAAAAAAAAAATTAGAAATACTTTGATCGCGTGAGAAGCGTAGTAGTGCGCTAAAGGCACCCTCATGCAACTGGTACAAGGTTGGGGCTATGATAAGAGACGAAAAAATCGCGCGGGCGCCTTTTCGCACCCGTAGCCTTGCTCCTGCTGCTTTGCTTGCGTAAGCCGCTAGAGTGAGGCCAACAGTCTCAAAATAACGTCCAAAGTTGAGAAAAAAAAAATAAAATTGAGTTTTTGACACATTTTACCTTCTGGCACTTCGGAATTTCTTTTTCTTTTTGTCTGTGTGTGTGTGTGGGTGTACGTGTGCGTGTGTGTGTGTGTGAGTGTGTGTGTGCGTGTGTGTGGGTGAAATTGTTTTGTTCTAATTTTTAAAGTATAGCTTAGTTTATTGGAGGAATAAAGCTATTATATATATTTCAAAATACCTCAAGACCTCTCCCTCCGGACAAATTCGGTCGAATTCAGATGAAACCACCCTAGACGTCTGCGAAAGTGCAGCAATTTTGATAACAGCGCGGTCGCAAAAGGACGATAACCCTAATATCTTTTCATGACTTTCCAAAAAAACAATGTTTACCGCATCCTTCCACCATTTTCTTTAGAATGACGAAACGTTCGCCTGTTTTATTCTGCGCGACCCCATTGGGTCGAACGGTGAATTGTCTGTACTCTGTTTCTGACGACCAAGAATATTATTTCATCGTGCTCTAAAAAGACCACAGTTTTAGCTTAACCCCGTTTCTTGCGCTCACGCTTCGACACAGGTATACGTAAACGCGACCTCGAAGTTTAAACTTTGGTCGCCAGTGGCGTGAGCTTGTCCCATTAGGAGAATCTTGTGCGTGTTCAACTATCCCGCCAGTGAAGACGGCGCACCCGTCGGATATAGTACAACTGGTAGTGGGGAATACCTTGTAGACCGTCTCGATCTCGCTGGGGGTGCAGTATGGAAAATCGATGTTGTGCAGGTACCGTTGGGATCCCTGCAGGTTTTGTAGCGCGGCGCTCAGGTTGTTCCTCGTCTCTTTTACGCAGTAGTACCTCTTCTCGTTGTCACTGTAATGTCAAACAGAATGTTGAATTTGCATATCATTTCGTAAAGGTATTTGAGATTTTAGTGCACGCTCATATGTCTTTTTATTTCAATCAACGCATTACTGCCTTTCAGCATGGCTTTTGTAAGGGACGCTCAATTGAGACGAATCTATGTACCTTTCTCGATTATTCGGCAACCTACGTTCATGGTCGTGGCCAGGATGGATATGATTTGTTTTGATCTCTCCAAGGCGTTAGACATAGTTAATCATGCCTTGCTCTTGCATAGGCTATCGCAGAGCGTATTTTTTCATGTGCTTGTAAATTGGTTCAAAAACTCTCTGAGTGACTATCGTTGCGTCGTTCGTATTTCAGACAGTTTTTGTGATCCTTTTTTTCCCCGTCTGGAGTGCCACAGGGCACTCCAGACGGGGAAATTTAGGGCCACTTTTGTTTCTGATTTTTATCAATGTCATTGAAACTTGCATAGCTAATTCATATGCGTTGCTATTTGCTGACGGCATCAAAAAAATTTTCTTTCAGAATTCGTTCAAGGGATGATTATGTGCTTCTTCAGAATGGCGCGTCATGTTTGCTTGATGTGTGCATGGCATATCTTTTAATAATTAAACCTGAAAAAGTAAGGTTTGGCCTTAGAGTAGAAAACGGGAACATGTGTCATATTTGTATTCGATTGACGTTAAGATTATTTCACGAGTGTCACTTATTCGTAATTTGGGCGTGCATTTTGATAGTTCGCTTTGGTTCATCTATTACGTCAGCCAGATTGTTTATACCACAGTAAGATTGCTCTAACTCGACATCTTGTGGGCCATGCTTGCTTGCTCCGCTTGTTTTGCTCCCTTATCAGGCCTAGGCTAAAATTTGGGTCGATAGTGTGGCATTCTCTTAGTGCACATGATGAAGCACAAATAGAGCTAGTTGAGAGACGCCTGGTAAGCGTAGCTTATGAAAGACATTTTGGCAGAAGACATTTTTGTAATTTTGAACTTCTTGCTAAATTCGGGCTTCAAGTTTTATCCACCAGGAGGGTGACACGTGATATAGTTTTTTGCACACAATAATATAGACTCCAAGCTTCTATGCAAAGTTAATTTTAATGTTCCGGCTCTTTTGAATAGGAGTACTTTTACTTTTTATACTCAAGACAACCTAATGCCGCCTTTATCTAGAATGCAGATATCTGTCAATAATTCTAGAAATCAAAACTTAGATATTTCCAATAACTATGTTGAATTCAAAAGACAATTGCATAATATGTTATTTCAGTCTTAGTGATGTGTATAAGTTACTCGAATGAATTTTTGTTCTTTATATGAATTCGTGGATGTATATTTTGGCATGGGGAATTTGTGTATGATTATTTTCTTAACTTTTATATACAAGTGCCGCATTACAGACTTCTGGTCGTTCATAAGAACAATAAAGAGACAGAATAATGATGATGATTCCGCTCACTTTTAAGCAAGAATATGTGCAAGCGAAATTTTAATAGTATGGTGACAAGAAACACTCAACGTAATACTCTCAAATGTGCAACTTGGATGGTTCCTCATTAGACTGTCCTCATGGTTAAAATTGTAGATATTCTGAGGAGGAGAGGGTGGAGCAAAAGACAACTACCCAGCACCAGAAGCAGTGATATATTCCAGGGTGTAAAAATACATTAAACAATCTCACAAGTCCTGGAAGTGCGGTGTACCCATTCCTGCTTGTTTGATCACCCTACTACTACTTTCCTACTCCAAATCCAGCTTTAGAACTTCACTGGTGGACGCAATGGCTGTTTAATGTACTTTTAACTCTGTAGGACGAATCACTGCGTTGAGGAAGTTGCGATGGACAAAACAAAATTATAAAAAGTGCGTAAAAAATGCTAATGCGTGAATACCTTTCTACGCACATATCATCTTACGCACAAACACTTGAACTAAAAGTTATTTTTTAAAAGAAATCCAATTTGCTGTTCTTTTTCTTTTTCTCTCTCTCCTTCTAACTTCTTTAATTTGATGCCCATGTACTCCCTGTAGAAGTCTTTTGAGATTATTGCGTTGAGTGTGATTTCTGTGACATGGCTTTCGTTTAGGGCTGTGCATCGAGCAACATTTTTAAATCAATTAAACGGCTAGCTTTAATATATGAAGTATGTGGTTATGAAATTCAGAGATAGATAAAAGTTTAAGCTAAATTATGAATGTAGCATTATACACTAAGGGGACACGATTGGGTTCGTATTCTTAGAGACGACGGAAGAGTGCATTTCAACGAAGAAGTTTAATTACGTTGGTTCGTTATGGCATACATTTAAATATCACGGGCTGGTGGCGGGAGTAGAGGAGAGAGCAGAAAATATTATATGAATATTTTTATTCACTCAAATCGCCAGCTACTGAGTGCTATTGGAGTAATTGAAACATGTCAGTTAGGCGTCATCCACTTATAAAGGTGCATTTTATTAAAACATTAGACGGCGGACTTTCATAAAAAGCATCGTGGTGTGTTACTGATCTCCCACTCTCTTGCTGTTAGCAGTAGCAACGCGAATAACGAAATGCAAGGCCAACAAGAATAAATATTATTCACCAGGATGGGAAGCAGCAAATATAGTTTACCTTTCTGGTAAATATTTTTAGTACATGCTGTCGGTGAGGCACTTATATTTGAATAAAAATCAGATAAGGGCGAACTCATTTTATAATTGTATATTATTATATTTTACAAACAAAACCAACGTCAAGTTAAAATAAATTATAAACTATACTTCACCAATTGGTTCTCATGATTACATTAAATTACGTTACATACTTTGACAAATTAATAAATTAAAAAAAATATCAGAGATTATTGCAGTATACTATTATTGGGTAGGTTGATCGATTACAGCCCTAGTTGCGTCCTGTATATTTGAAATGAAAATAAGTACATGTGAGCAACACATTACTGTAAAAGGCAACCCGTGAACTTTTATTACAAAATCATGGTTGCACCACAACCAGAAAACGAATAGAGACATACCTAATGTCGTTTATCGTATTTTTTAAATAGAGAACTGTGTATGCTAATACTGTGTTACGATTTAGGCTATATTTATTTTACAGCTCTACCTGGGGAAGCCCCGCTAAACGTCCCCGCCCCCTCCCCCCCCCCCCCCCCCCCCAAAAAAAAAGAAATTAAGGTGACACAGACATTTTTTTTTCGCCCACTTTTACACTTTTTCGAAACTAAGACACTTTTATGACGCATCAATAACAACACAAACACTACCATCTTTAATTGGAATGCCATTTCACTCGTTTCACAAGAACGGAGAAAGCGTTGCACGTGTAGAATTAATTTTATTTTTTAAACAATCTTAGTTAACCATGCTACAAAAATAAAATCTGAAATGACCCCATCGAAAATTGACTTTATAAACTTAGTGCCACTACAGAAATTTTCGTAGCGTCTGCAGTCCTTACTCAATTCTTACGATACCAATAAAACGTCACCAGCGTAATAGCTGCGCGCCATTCACCCGTGTAATCATGCCTGATTCAGATAGATGCGATTTTTCGTGCGATTTAGCAGTTTTCAACGTCCCTCGCGCGGCAAGAAAGCGTGACAGCCGCGACGCTCAACGCCGCAGCTGCGAAAGCTCAAGCAAGGTTGCCCGCTTGACAAAAGTGTTGCTCACAAATAAATACTCGATATATAATGGTGCAACCAAACCACTGCTCTGGATGAGCGTCACACAGGTGTGAGATTGTGCACGATCGTGACTTCACGTTGCACGTTAAAAACTCCAGGTCAGTGGTGGTAGTGCACTGGCCAAATTTCCCATCTAGAACGAAGACACCAGGTGAAATTTCCAGGTAGACTAGGTTCCCGCTGTCGTAAACGTCCATATATGGCAAAATGTGAAATTTCCACACGTGGAACTTGCCTTTCCGGAATTGAGGCCAAGTCTCGCCATTTCTTGAGCGCCCGCGAGAGCTGCGCGCAGGCCTGTCGCACCATGAGCAGGGCCTGAGACCACTTGAAGTGCGTGTGGTCCACCTGCTGCTTGCAGATCTGCAGCTTCTCCAGGTCGAGTGCGAGCTGCCCCTCGAGCTCGCTGCCTGATGATCCGCCGAAGATGGTGTCTGGTTCGAAAAACAGCACGTATACCCGGGCAAAGAGTTAATAACTCCACATCGAGTGTCACCTCCAATTATGGAAATATGTACACAGGCATAGCCTCCTCTATACGGAGAAAGCCTGGCACATCGACGACGGAGCCATAGAGCGCGCGGCCGCAGGAAAAAGGAGAGGAGGAGCGCGCCGAACGGTGACCAATATGGTAGCGCAGAGCAGAAAGGGCAGACCTAGACAGCGAGCGCTTGGGTCATGAGCGGCCGCTCCCCGAACCACGCTTGTTTTTGTGTTTTCGTCACCGTCGTTTTCGTACTCCGGGAGAAACGGGCGCGGCGATTCGAAAGGGCGCAAGGAGAAACGGGAAAGGGTGGACGTTGAGTTTCTCCTCTCCGCGATAGCGACAAGAAAAGAGAGAAAAAAAAAAAAACAAGATTGTTTCTGCGTTTGGCCGCTCGCTCTTTTGTGGCGCTAGCGGGCAAGGTTCTCTCCGCTCCCGTTTCTCCGCCCCTCCTTTCCCATTTACGGCGGCCGTCTTTTCACGCGACGCGCCAGGCTTTCTCCGTATAGAGGAGGCTATGACACAGGTTGAAAAAGTTCCAAGGTGGTACCCGTGCGCAGGTTTGAAGTGTTCCCGGATGGCGCCACCGCGCCAGTGTGTTAAACACCGACGACCAGTTCGCGCTTTCCACTTTTCCCCCGCTTCCTCCTCTCCCCTTCTACCCTGTCCACCGTTGCAACACCACCTGTTGACCGTTGCCCCGTTTCCTGCTCCCCCATGGCGAGGAGAATCTTCTGCCTTGCAGAATCTCGAGTCTGGTCGTCGGTTACAAGGGGACGCAGCGCACTAGGATCACAGTCAAATGCAAATATGCGAATAGGACTGCTGGTTAATGGTCAGCGAGCCCTCTTACAAGCTCGGGCCAATAGTGTTGCCAGCTGATGCCCGATACAAACGTAGCAACTTCGGCTCGTGAAATAGGAATGCACTAACTAGGTAAGCCAAGAGTTTGGCCAAGTTTGAGCGCGTTTACTCTCTGGTTTTTCTCTTGTTTGAAGAAAATGTAGAGAAACATACCCAAAAGGTTGTCTCTGTCTTGATAGAGTTGTGCCAGCTCTTCACACTCCTTCGACAGAACCTTGATTTCTTTTTGGATGACTTCGATCTGTGCCTGCGTGGCCTTGAGCTCATTCTGACATACTTCCTGTGAGCAGCATGCAGGAATCGGTTTGTAGCGTGCTCCACACAGAAATAAACAAGAAAAGACGCCGCTCACATGAAAACGGTACTATTTGTGTAGGACCCACACGCTGGGATGTCTTTGTTTTCCTAAGATTTATTTACGTGTCTGCATCACTGTTTCGTGGCGGCACTTTCAAGAATTCGATATACCCTCGGGTGATGTAGGTAGATGCATAAATAAATAAATAAACACATTATACTAATTTCAGTTCATTCATATGTTTGACCAAGTTTCCTCATTGGAGTATACATCTGATCTACAATTTTAAGACAGCATCAGAAGAAAATAGAAAATTTATATGTCGGCGACATATTACTTTAAGCACATGCATGTTAAAAAATAATTACATTTTCGAAAAGAGCACAAAAGAGTGAGGAGACAAATGTGTCATTCATAGCCTTTGATTTGGAAGTTAGATGCTACGCGATTTTTTTACCTGTTTCGTAAGTTGTATTTGTTGGGTACTGCTCATTTTTAGTATAATCTGTATGTCGTATTCTGTATTCTTCAAAACCTGGTGTTTTGAAGAAATGAAAAGCTTGTTTTTTTCTTACCTCAAAAGTAATCTAAACATCGCTGAACGCTCAGTTTTCACACAAACATAGTACTATAGTGCTATAGCGGATTTGCTAGGCAGAGAAGATACTTACAAATCTTTAGCCCCCCCCCCCCCCCCCCCTCCTCAAAAAAAAAAAACAAAAATTCTAGTAACTATATTTTGCGAATGGGACCAGGTGCCGAAGTTTCCCAACCTACTGTTATCTGTCTCAAAAGTTAGACATGATTTTCGAAAATTTTTGGGGAGAAAATGGCAGCCAACTGCAGATGTACCGGGGCCGCTCCCGATAGCAGGCGCCGTGCCTGCTATCGGGAGCGGCCCCGGCTCTATCATTGAAAATTTCTGAAACTCGCTTAGAACTTGTGAATGCGAGGATGGTGAGCTCTGAAACTTTGAAATCGAACCCAGCAGCTAGCGCTACGTTTCGGCGGACACTGAACGTTCAGCGATCCGTAGTTCATTTTTGCGGTGAGAAATACAACGCGGTTCACTTTTCTCTTAGGCACCCGCTATTTCGCGGGCTTGCTCAAGAACTCTTACGAGATCGCGACGGAAACTTGAACAGAAAACGTGAAATGCTGCTTCCAAACATAGTCCACAAGAACGACGATGTCAAGACGACAGCGGCTGCCGTAGCATCGTTAGAGTGTACTAGCATCGCCCAAAACGCGAAGCACTTTTAAGCAAAAATTGCTCCGCGTCGCGTCACCTAAGGCGTAACCATATCAGCCGTTGTTGAAGGTATGGCGTGGCCGAATAGCGTGCCGCCCGTGCCACCACCTCACAGCGTCGGCGACGGTTGCTATGATTATGCCGCCCAGTGTCGCGGCGCGGCGCGACGCGGTTTTTGTCCACGTATGTTTCACGCATTAGAACACGGAATAAAGCAAAGAGGCCTCTAACCAGGCGGTTCATGTTGTCGAGGTATTCCTCTTGTTCAGGCAGGAGGCCTTCCAGCTCGCGCTGCTTTAGAAGTTCGTCCTTGACGGTCATGAGCTCGTCCTCTCCGAAGAGGTCCGTAACTGCTTTTCTGCGCGGAGGACAAGACATCAAGACAAAGATTCGATGACGACGCTCCCGCGAAGTTCTCCGATTTCTTTGTATACTGTCACGCATGGGAGCTAAGTAGAACGAGGTTAATGAAATAGAAAGCGGTTCTTCATCTTTCGTCTCGGGTCCTACGCGCTCGGGCAAACAAAGCAGGGTGCCTAATCAGCTGTGAAAGCTCGTATCGGATCGATAGGGATTCTGGCCGGGTCATACGACTCCCTGCGGGGCAAATTAATAATCTATTTATGGCAAATTTTGCAATGGGAAGCCTGCGATGATACGTGAGCCGCGCGCGACGCTGTAAGAAGTTCCGCGGGGCTTTTCGGCTGATTGTCTTTTGAAAAATATGCATCGCCGACTGGCGGGTTCAAAGGGGGGAGGGGGGGGGGGGGTCCGGATTTCCCCCCGCTCTTTTTTTTGATCCCGCATGTAATATTTTAGGGGGGTGCAAAGCGGAAATGATGTGTGTGTGTGTGTGGAGGGGGGGTGCTCTCATACATTCGATACTCGGACTCCCCCCTCTATGGAAACACCTGCATCCGCCCTTGACATGGTTTGAACTGGCGTCACATCTTCGGCCATTATGACGGCCTTTCTGCTGAACACTATGCAACCTACATTTCGCGTCATCGAAGATTTTTTTTTCTTTGTTTTCTACAAGAACAAGTTGAAATGACCGGCGTAGCGTACAAGCCAGGTATTTTGTATTACAATTAAAATGCATTGAGGTGCGTCTAAACGATCATCTGCTGTCGCACTACATGCCATTGGAGATAATTATTGTTTTATTTACTTAGTTTTAACCAGGATTTCCTGATATTCAATCAAGCAATAAATAAATGTCCTAAAGAGTAAGGGTTCATTTTCCTCGCCAGATGTCTTAGAAAATTACATTTTCATTTTCACTATAAGTCCTCAGAGCCGGTAACTTAACTTCTTTTAGGCACAGGCACGTACTTTGCGAAACTGGTTGTATGTGAATATGTACGATGAAAAAGCAGAAGCAAGTGGTCTCACAGTACCATCGGGTTTCAATGAAACGAGAAGAGTGACGAAGCTTTGGGTCCAGCACCGGCGCACCTTCCAAGCTCGGGTTGTGCCTGGCGAGGTTCAAACACATTGGAGTGGGACGTACAACCTCGCAGCGCCCTACTCCGATGTGTTCGAACTTCGCCAAACACAACTCAGACTTGGAAGTTGCGCCGGTAGTGGCTCGAAGTTCAGTCACTGTTGGCATTTCATTCGAACCCGATGGTACATCGGGTCTTGAAGGCTGCATAGAAAGGCAAAACTGCACTAAGCAAATTGCACGTGAAGCCGCAATTAACCAACCCAAATGGTTAGTGAGTACAACAATGAACCATTTGAAATGTGCGCTACGGCACCGGAGTTTAATTACCGTTACTTGAGCTGCTTTGACGCAGATTTACGTATTTCTCCGTTTCAGCTTCTGTCCAGACGCAGCCGATGCTACAAGCGCGAGCATGTGGCCCAGAACAGTGCTTGCACTGCACGAGCGCGCGTGCTTGCTAGGGATGCTGGAAGCCCGGAGCTCGCGCGTGTAGCTTTGGCTGCGTCTGGACCGAAGCTGAAACGAAGTATAGAAGGGGGGTTAAAATTTTGGAGGTCGATGTCACAAAAAATTTCGACGTCACACATATAACAGGCGGCGCCTGCTGCTGAGAACCGCCAAGTACGCACGCCCGTCCTTTCTTATCTGCTGGCTTGCTCGTTTGCCTTTTTCAACGCGACGCGCTGCTCCTGTCTGATTGAAACGGCGATAGACTCCGCTCCGGTAGCCCCGATTCCACAATTTGAACGAGAGAGCGTTAAAAGGAGCTCGTGTCGCAGAAAAGCCGACGTCGTCGTCGGTGGCGTCATGACGGGAAAATCCTGATTGGTCGATAGGGTCATGACATCACAGCCACATGACCTCGCGCGGGAATTTAAAACAACGCACAACGCTAACGTGAAACGGGAATAGTGACGTCATGCGTGAAATAAAAGTGATTAAAACATGACATGAGATGAGAATCAAAGGTCTCCGCATGTCTCAAATGATTTTCCTTTATAAAGTAATTTATTCGCCTTAAAGAAAAAATTGACGAATCTTAGGCGGTATTCGTACTCACGGCCCTTCGGTTGCGAGCCAGACACGCTATAGTGACTAGGCGATGTCCGCCGCACTTCCTGCTCGCTGCCATGAACAGCATCAGAAGCGAATGAGCACGCGATGCGAACGGGTCCCGATAACGCTATCGCGTTCAACTGTTATACCCCTGTCGGACGGGCGAGTTTAGTGCACTTCAAGCGAGTGCACTTCAACCCGTCGAAACACACTAAAAGTGTGTTGGTGCTACATGGGAAAACTTTGTGTCACTCCAAAATGATGGCAATGACAATGGGTAAAGCAATTTGCACACAAAATATCAAAGTGCATGCGCATATTTTTATAAATAACTTCGTCGTCTTATAAAAAACACGTTACCACACATCTTTGCGCTAAGTCACGAGCTTTAATTCAAATATAAATCCGATTTGATTACTGTGATCAGCCATTACAAGCGAGGCAAATCCAAAGTCTAAACATCACCTTCATTCGCCGCAATGAGAAATCAAAATTGGGGTGGGTGTATGTTTATACAGCCCAGAACTAAGTCTGCCTCAACGGGCGGCAGATGAGAAATTTAGTCAGTGAAATACAACCGCGAGCCTGGGGTTTTGACTTGTACCACGCCGTAGTGATACTCGACCACACGCCGGTACGATGCTCATCCAGATCGAAACGACAGGGGTGGAAATAGACCATTTGCTATAGGGAGTATTCACTGGGCGGCCATAGCTGTGTGCGCGAATGCTGAGCGCGTGCTGATGGCGAGCTTCCACAGTGCTTTTGCAACGTGCATTCCGCACCATCAAGAGTGCCGGTCTTAGCAGCCTATTTATGTGAGCTCGTTCTGAGCATGCGCTCTAAACAGCACCCACAAATATGGCGTCTAGTGAATACTCCCTATGTTACCCAAGCATCAAGGAGAATGCAGGGATTGGTGTTCCACGCGCCACACGCGCACGCCTTCCCCGTTTAAAAGATTCGAAGTAAATAACCAAAACAAAGCGTTGACGAACGCGCGTGCAAGATGCCATTTGTTTTAGGTATTTGCTTTGGAAAAGGTACTACTGCTGAGGCCAGCACGTGCGGCGCGTGGAACACCAATTCCTGAATTCTCCTTGATGCTTGGGTAATATAGCAATAGGTCTTTTGAACCCGGGATCCCTGGGTTCTGTAGCGCAAGCGTTTGCTCCGCTTGCTCCGAGTGGTCCAGTGGGCTCGGCGTGCGCCGAGCCCACTGGACCACTCGCCACGCGCCACAACGAAATATCATGTATTAGCGGCGAGATGTTTTAGTGGCGCCCTCCTGTCGTTACCTTTCGTGACGTCATTACCTCACCAACAACAGGTTCGATGGTGTTTGTAGGAGCGTGGTGGAAGCTTGAAATCATTGCGCTCTTAAAGCAACACTACCAGCACCGTCGGAATTGAAGTTCTTCCATTCCTCTTATTTCCGTCCATGAGAAATCCTTTGCTGACGTCATAGTCAGCATTCGGCCAATTGCGGAAGGCCGACCACAGCGACGCTTTCGATCGCGCACGTCGCCAATAGTGTGTGGAGGACGAGCTGGAGTGCGATATCCGAGATGTTGGACAGTGGAAGCGCGTGGTGGGGCACTTTTCTCCGTGAGAGCCCAGCACCTTTCAGATGAGAGGCAGCTGGAGCTGGATGCCGACGCACAGACAACAATTTCGAGTGACATCGATCAGCAGCTGCAGGCCAATGCCTACACCAGCCGCTCTCATGACCGATAGCCTACCCGTGATCAGTCCAGAACGGTGGACTTTTCAGAGAAACGAACGGTGGTTCGAAGACACCTTGCCCCATTTGGGCGAGTTCCATTTCAAGCAAGCCTTTCGCGTCTCTCCTGCCACCTTCAGATTCCTGGTGGAGTCTTGCAGGTGCCTCCTGGGGTGCTATGTTGCGCTTTTTGCACTCCCAGGAGACTTGGAAGAGGGAAGTGACGTCAACGACTAGAGCAAATGGAGATTGGATGTTGACAGAAGAAAACAAAATCAACATCCAATCTGCATTTGCTGCGTTGTTGACGTCACTTCCCTCTCCCTAGCCTCCCGGGAGTGCAAAAAGCGCAACATAGACCCCCTGGCCGTCGCTGGCCGTCGCGCAGGTGCCAAGGCTGGAAACTAGATTAGCCGCTTGTTTTTCTACAATGCACTACTTTCTTGCTAATAGAAAACAAGTGCGCATTTAATATTACTTTTTTCGAAATAATATTAATTTTACGCAGCGTTAGTTTCTTTTATTATTTTTACTCCTTGAACACTGTTGTCAAGATTAAACACTCAGTCTACTGCGGAGTCGGGTATAGTATGCTCCCCAATCTCACTTCACCGGAAGTGTATTCTTCGAGCAGGGCTGGGGATAGACCCTTCCCGGAATTCAGTGCCATCTGGTGACTCAAACGGCAGTTTATCTTTTACTATACTAATGGCGGCAATGAACCTGTGGCCTGCAGTATTTAATGGGGTACCGTCACTTTCGCAAGTCAACGGTAAACGAGAATGTGCACTTCACTACAATTCTTTTCCAATCTCTTTTAGTGTCGATGGCGAAACAAATGCAGTTAGTCGGTAGAAGCGCCAACCCACATAGACGCCTTGATAGAGTTATGTACATCAAGGGGCTCTGAAGCCGAGTGAGTGCTACTAACAGATTGACTGGGACCGAGTTAGAAATGAACGCTTACGCAGCTCTTGCGTCCAATTCCTGCTTCACGACGCGCTAACATCTAGAATGTATAGGCCTCGAATCATCTGCTTAGGAGCACCTTCAACTTCTTCCTTCATCAGTAAACGGAAGGCCGCCATTAGTATAGCACATATGACATTTTCAGATGATGATGATAGTG